TCTCGCCCGCACGCTCATCAGCGCGTGCAAATAGACAGCCGCCACCGAGTCGGCTTAAAAGCAAATATTTCATTATTTCATCAGCCAAAGTGGTTTTCAAAGAGTCGCGTTACTTTTAAGGGATCGTTTATAGAAGGAATCACGGCGCGCAAATCCCGACGTGATCCGTTTGAGGAGGATTTTAAACCTTTATTTGAATTTCAAAGTTAAGAGAACAATTAGAAGTTGTGTTGATTAAAAAAAAAACAACAAAAATGACATCAACCGCTTGTTTCTTGTTCCGGATTTTTGATTTCGATTGCCCTTTGACTTTGACACTTGACATGAGTGGCTAATTCTGTTAAAAATGGTAAACGCGACATTATTTTTTTAAATAAAACAAGAACGATTGAGATTTCGGTTCAGGTTGAGAGCTGGGGTCAGGGTCTTGAGTTTTATAAGTGTGTTTTCAGTTAGAGTTTCCAGGTTCAACCTGCAGTGGAATGAAAGCCACTCACAAAAATGAAGTATTGAGTGGAACACCAAATGTTTTTTGATTTTCAGTGACCAAGAACAAATATTTTATTGGTATGTGCAAGGCATCCATGCAGTCGGAGGCTAAAAAAAAAAGCTCTTTGGATCAGGATGGAGAGGAAGCAAGCGAGTGAGGCCTTGGCGCTCTATGCCAACCTGCCTCCCTTTTAAAACGTTGCGAGATACAATTCTGTTGATCCCTGTGAATGGCCAGCATGAATGGAAAATAGTTGCTTAAAATCCGAAAGGCAAACTTTTTTTTTTCTTTTTTTTTTGGCTTCTTGAGAATTTTTTGTGGGTCCACTCATGATAGACCTGCCTACCAAATGTCATGTTGCTAAGTCAAAATGGCTCCTGGGGCTACATTTTCACAAAACTGCAACATACATTTTTGGCGAATGACGCTTGGAAATAGCCAACGTGACTCACAAAAAAAAAAAAAAAAAAAAAATTCAAAAGGAAATGGCAGATATTCTCTGTTTTTGCTGGTCTGGCTTCTTGAGACTTTTTTGTGGGTCCAGTCATGATGCATTTTCTGACCAAATTTTATGTCGGTGGGTCAAACTGGCTTCGGGGGCTGAATTTTTGAAAAATTCCTCCTTTCCAAGGATCTACTCATGATAGACATGTCTTCCAAAATTTCATGTTGCTCGGTGAAACTGGCTGCAGGGGCAAAACGATGCTCTCTGGATGAAGAGGAGGAGGGCGAGAGAGGCCTGGGGGCTGCCCCCCCCCTCTCTCTCCCTCCTGCCTGTGATGGAGCCACTAGGAGGGAGGGTCTAATTGTTCCTGGAGAGGAGAAGCAAACGGGCAGAGGCGCGAGGAATGCCGGCTGGCATCCAGATCGCCCGCAGAAGAAATGAAGAGCGAGGGGGTGGGGATCGGAGGGGGGGGGGTGACTTCAAAGCGACTTCAAGCAAAACAAGCGCGTCGCATCTGATATTTTATTTTATTTTTATTTTCTCCGTGCCAGAATCATCATCTTCTGAGAGATGCCCGCACAATATGGCCGCCTAATTGAAGAGGCGCAACACATTCATCTTGTATTAGATTAGAAAGCAGTGCCCTCAGGTGGACGCATTAATTACTACAAAGGCTTGAAGCGCCTCATTGGTCCTTTGGAATCACACGCACGCACTCCACAGCCATGTTAGAAGCCTGCGCGACTTGTCCATCCATCCATTTTCTCTTCTGACATCGTTTGGCAACGTATACAATTGACGAATCGCCAGACGACTATAAGCTCCCTTTACGGCCCATGACACTTATTCCATCCAGGTTGTTGGTCGTGCTTGTGGTACTTGCAGAGCTAAGTAAATTTTGACACGCTACTTTGGTGTAGATAAATAACTAAATCAACAAAAATGAGATTCAAAGCGCAGCCCTTAAGGCAGACGCGCTAAACACTTTGTATTTGTTTTTTTTATTAAAAAGCTGCCAGCGAGGAATGATAGATTGCAATGTGCGGCGGAGCAGAGTTTGATCTGATATGATTGGCTTGTTTTCATTGAGAGGGCCCTGCTTAGCCCCCCCCCCAACCCCCCCCAAAAAAATCGTCACGTCATCACCCGCGCCGGGAATGTCGCCCTCTCTAGGAATTGATGCGAACGCGCGGAAACTGCCCTGCCTTGACTGCGATTGATGGCGGAGAGATTTTTCCACGTGGAGGGTCTAATCATGAAACTAAAGCAAGCTAAATGCTGTCGCCGAAAAATAACGTTGCAGTCCCTTGACGGGCAAAAACAGAGCCGAGCAAACCTTATTTTGCAAAGTCGGTCGAGGGCTGAATTTCCCCAAAATTGCAAGCTACAATTTTGGTGAAAGAAAATGTTCCTTGGAACCAAAATCAGAGTTGATGCGCGTTCTTGTAAGGATGGCCTCTTGATACTTTTTTGAGGGTCAACAAAGTGCCTCCCAAATTTCGTGTTGCCAAGTGAAACTGTCTTCAGGGGCTGAATTTCATAAAAAATGACAAAATACCTTCATGGTGAAGGACACTTGGAAACCGTCATTTTTTTAAAACCTAAATTGCACTGACTCCCCGTGACTTTCTGGCCTTGGATTCTTGGAACATTTTTTTTTGCAGGGCTACTTTTGATAGAAATGCCTACCAAATATTTGTAAAACTAGCTTTGGGGGCTGAATTTCCAAAGAATTTCAAGGTGAAGGTTTGATGAAAGACTTTAGAGAATGCCCCCCCCCCCCCCACCCCCGCGCCTCCCTCCTCCTAAAACAAATTGACGTGCCTACCAAATTCCATCTTGCTAAGTCACGCTGACCTCCGGAGCTTTTTTCTTTTTCCCCCAATTTTTTTTTGATGATGGAAACTTGGAACTGGGCAACGTGTCCCTAAAACGTCGGCGCCGAACCAAAATATTAGACTTCCTGTATGTCTCCAGGGAAGGCTTCTTGAGACTTTAGCGCGTGTCCACTCCCGATAAAACATGTCTCCCAAATTTTCAGTTGCTCACTCCGATTTGCCCTCCGGTGCTGAATTTTCAAATAATTGTGGTCGGTATGGAGGTCGTGGCAAGGAATCCATTTTATAAGCGTACGCAATCTGATGAAGTGGAATTTACGTCGGTGTGCGGTTTTCTCCCATGCGTGTTTCCCGGGTGATGTCGGCCAATGATGCGATGACGAAAAGGTGCGCGCACTCGCCGACCTCCCGTCCGTGTTTGTTTCCTACCGCTCTGATGGATGTAATGAATTCACAGCGGCGGTGAGTCAGTGCGGATCAAAGAGCAGCCTCCACTCGTAGAGTGTGCCGCCCATGTCACACGCACGCGCGCACACACACACACACACACACACACACACACACACACACACACACACACACACACACACGCACACATGCTCACGCAGGTGCCAATTGATTCCGAAACCATCACCCCTCACTCTGGGTGAGAGAGGTGGTCCAAAAAAATAGACCCAAAAAAAAACAAAACAAAAAAAAAAAAAAAAAAAAAAAACAATGTAGCACTTGCACAATGCGCTAATGAGCGTAAGCGATGCTGGCACGCTTTCAGAGGGTTTCCATGGCGACGGCGGTGCAGTGCCAGAGTCATGACCGCACAGGCTCAAAAATAAATAAATAAAAAAAATACTCTCGCTACTTCATGGCGGATGGGAGCGCGTCAACGGCAACCACGCTGACCCCCTCCGTCGTTTCCTCCATCGCGGGCGGCTAAGGCGCCTCTCGGAAACAGCCGACCTCGCACTTGTTGCATTCGTTTTCACGAATCTGTCGCCGGAAGCTGCGGGCAAGTTCTGGCTCACCTCCAACGGCTTTTGCCGCATTTGGTGCTCAGACGCTTTGGACCGTACCAAATTTTCCAGTTTATTTTTCCGAGCATTTTTAACCTTTTTTTGCACCCTGTAACCTGTAAGCTGTCCACTGAAAGGGTTCAATTCCTTTGCATTTGTATCAAACTTCAAAATCAAACACTTGTTTGTTTGTGTCAGCTGTCTTATTCCACAATCTGCCATTTTGTAATGAGCGAGATGCTCATGTCTTGTCACAGCAGTCCACTTCCTGCTCTGTATTATTATTATTGTAATAATGTCTTGGTCCCCCCCCACTGAGTGTGTAACCCCCGAGTTAAGAGAGCAAGCGCACACAGACGGTCGGCACTGATTGCAAATGCAAACACCGGAGTGAAGTCGGTCATTTCCATGCAAGAGATGACTCCGTCATTCGCGCTGTTGAAACAGGACCACCAGGAGGTCCTTAAAGCAAGCCGGCGCATTGACCACATTTGAGCTCGGCTTATTCATCGGCTGCTAAAAGTGCCGCTTAAAAAGCTCTCCGAGGACCGCGGGGCGATTGCGGATTGACACGTGTGGGCCGCTTCAACTCGCAACACCGCCGCCATGAATATTTCATTCGGATCCCCAACGGCGAGATTCCCCCCCCCTCGCCCGGGATGCGACGTCACTTTTACTTTTGTTCAATCGCGATTGACGACGCCGGGAAATCGTAAGTGCTCAATTTCACAGCCGATCGGGTTTGCTCACCGCTTCACTCGGACTTTGGCGAGCGCGAAAGCAGACGGGCGATGTTAATGGGCCTTTTGAAGGGCTTAATGGCCGCGGCGATGTGGCCAAAGAGGAGATGCTGGTCTGGGTGAAAGTACGACAAAGATCTGCTGACTAAGCGTTTTGGGTTTTTTGCTCATTTTCAAAAACCGAAGTCTCTTTTTTTTTCGAATAGGGTTCCGCAAACCGGACAAGTGGCGGGTCACCTTGCTTGCTGATGACATCACTGACTCCTAAAGTATTGATCCATCTCTGGCACTTCCATGTAGCATTGTTAAAAGTCAAGTCATACTTTGGACTAGTTATGTCACGCTATCTTCTGCCGTTTGGAAAAAAAACCATCCCACCATGACGCTTCAGAAGAAGCCACAAGGAAAACCATCGGATTTTTTTTTTTTTTTTATAATCAGAAGAAGGAAAAACTATTTTGTTTTTGTTTTGTTCAGGGGCAGCTGCAACGGCGCGCCAGCAGACAGCGGTTTCCAATCACGCTGCAGTGGAGGATGAAACAGGTGGCGCCTTTAATTGCTTTCTGCTAGCTCGCCACCACTAGCCTTAGCTGGCCCAAGTCCGCCGAGAGCCGAGCGACGCCAAACGGCGGCGTCCAGAATTAGCCCCGAAAATGTCCGGCCGCCCATCAAAGCCTTTTTTATGAATTGATTTATTTTGCATCAAAGCTACGAAAGGCACACAAATAACTCTTGTTTCACGAATTAGCTCAACATCGTTTTTGGAGATTGGGGAAGCGGCCAACGGGAAGTGTTTCATCTCCAAGGCTCAGCCGGACTTGTGGGGATTGGCTTTTTTAAATATGAAGGAGATGCAATTTGCTGCGCTGCGCCGGCGTCCAAGGCTGACCCGCCCGGGATGAATATCCAAACCCTTGATGAAAATTGATGCCAACAGCAATTTTACACCACCTGAACAGTTGTTCATCAACCGCACTAAAAACAACATTCTGCATGACGATATGTACCGGGCTGGGATGTGTGCGTCTTCATGCCTCCAAAAAATACGTACACATACAGTTTGGTAGATTGGCTCTCATGTGCTTGGTGCAAAAAAATTGTGTAATTTGATTTTCGCACCGGGGCAAGTCGGGTTTACCGTCTTTAGAAATTCGATGGACCGTGTGGCTCCTCGCTGGGTGTTCCCAGGGTGTTTTTTTTTTTTTTTTTGTGACAATTTGGTGACAGAAAGTAGACTAGGTATAAGCAGGTCTAAGTTTTGGCGCAAGGGGTGGAACGTGATTTTGGTGGATTTGATCCAGTCGCAAGCAAACAGATTCTGAGCTCTGGGGGGCGTTGCGTTGTGGATGTCACTCAGAAATATGACAGTTGGGAGGACGTTGACACAAGATTGGGGGATCAGTGCCCATCCACAGCGGCTGACTTGCCATGGCGTGCTTCTTGTAGTTTCTTTTGAATGTACTTTTCCAGTCTCCTGCCTCTATATGCCATGAAGAACATCGCGCAGCTCTCTGCACTCAGCGCTCCCTCCCACAACGGCGCAAACGCCCCCTTCTAACCTAAGAAAATACTAAAAGAAAGATAACTCACCAGGCACAAAAATAGGGCCCGCAGTCATGACCGCTTGTATCCCTAAATGCCATTGAAGGTAACAAGTTGCCTATTTTTGTTCTTTATCAGAACGAAGGTGACTATCGTAGCGATAAAAGGATTGTAATCTGACAAGAATATCGTATCTTTCCAAGGCAAAGTTGCACTTTTGTAATATTAAAGTCAAAGTTTAACAAGTAAATTTCAAATACAACTTTAATGTGTGTGTGTGTGTGTGTGTGTGTGTTTGTCAGGTGTGCGACTGCTGGCAGTGATTGCCCTGTGTTCCCATTTGGCCTGTGGCTAATCACCAGAGTCCAGCGGCTAATCTTCAGTATCGCCCGGGCATCAGGAAGCCGCGGGGGGTGGGGAGTGGGGGGGGTCGCCCATTTCCTCCAAGAGCCTCACAAACGGCTAACTTCTTCACGGCCGCAATCCGATCGTTGGCCGCGTGGCAGGAAAAGCCCATCAGGTGTCGCGCCAGCGGACGAAGTCCCAGAGAAACCTTATTATAACCCAGAGAAGAGGACAAGGGGGAAGGGAGACAATAATGCACCTTCACTGTTCTCCCCCTCCAAAAAGAGCTTTTCGAGTGAATTGCTTTGATTGACATTGTGATGTGCAGTGACTTCTTTTTCCCCCTTCTCCTTTTTCGAGTTTGGCTTCGGGAACGGCGAGGCGGCAAAGTCACCGGGAAGGTGGGCAACGTTGGATGGCGCCCCGTAAGCGTAAGCGTTCCAGCTGGTGTGGACACAAACGGCGATCATTAGTTGGGTTGGAACGGAACCTCAAGGGGGGAGGAGGGTTGGGGGTGGGGGGCCGGCGATTGCTGGACGCGGTTCTGTCATGCATGCTGAGCTGTCGACTGTCATCCGGCACACACCGGCAAGTTGTTGGATGATCGGAAAGGCCTTCGGTGGCTGACAATTACTACAAACACGCTTTGCAGGCACTGGAGATGGAACATTTGAAACCCTAATTTTGGCCTGAAACACTCATTTAAAACCATACCTTTGTTTAAAACCCTAAAATCACCAACCAGAACCCTAAGTCTGGCTTTAACCTTCTTTTGGAATGTAAATAAAAACCTAAAACCCATCTCACCCTCGAAACCCTAACACTGCTTTTGAAACCTTAATTGTTGAAGCCTTAGCTCGAAACCCTAACCTGAGTTGGAAGCAATAACCTTAAATCCATAACCCTGGCTTCAAGCCCGAATTTGAAAACTTCACCGTGACTTGAAAATTAAAACCAGACACGAAACCTGAATTTGAAACCTTAGCTGTTGCTTCAAATCTCAGTCCTGCCTTGAAACCATACCCCTTTGTCTTTGAAATGAAGTCACTTGCGACATCATCGTCAGCCTCCGAAGGGAACTTAATGAGCAAGCTGACAATTGCGAGTTGCTGTCAAATTGCAGCCAATCACGTCTTGCGCCGTCTGCCTCGCCAATGAGCGCGCCACTTACGGCGCAGACTCCCCGCTGGGCCAGCTGCTGGCGTGTGTCATGCCAGCTTCTGGACCTTTAATGGTGGTCCAGTATGTATATTTAGAGTCGGGCTTCTTTGGATGTTCGCAGCTTAAAGCCGCTAATTGTTCTTTCTGCCAGCCTGACGAGCACTTAGAATATCAAGACTTGGCGTCGGGGACTCAGAAACCTTTGAAACTTTTTGGTGATTTGTGACCAAGACAGAAGAAGAAAACAAGAAAAGGCTTGAATTTTTTTTTTTTTTTTTCCCGAGCCTTCCCCGTGTGTATGAATGACAAAATCCTACTTGGAAATGTTCACGCTGTCTTCTGATCTTAATTTGGAACTTTGACCTCTGTTTAAAACCCTGACTTGAAACCCTAACCATGCCAAGTTTCCCTAATCAGTGGTACCGAGTTGGGCGTTTAAAAGCGGTGAATTATTGAGGGAAGATGACGACTCGTCTTCATGGTTGCAACACGTCAGGCGTGTTGCGCACATCTCATTTGGACGGATGCTCTCCATCTTTTATTCATGCATCTTTTCCATTTTTTATAAAGTCTTGGTGGGGGCGGGCACTCGGCGGCGTCCCCCCTCGGGTCCCCCTCGCGGCTTCAAAGCTTCAGGGCTTCGCTTGCGCCCGTGCGACCTTTGCGGGCTGGGCTAGCCGTCAACTGCGCTCGCGTGTCTTTTGTTCCCTTCATTTTTCATGAGAATGCGTCATTTTGTTTGGGGCGACATCGTTACACCACCTAGCGTGACCTTCAACAAGTGCTCATTCTGTTTGTTTGTTTGTTTGTTTTAAACGATGGCAGACATCATCATGAGGAAATGATTTTTAACATTTTAAACCCAATCTTTCTTTGAAACCCTACTGCTGGCTTCTTGCCTTAATTTTGAAACTCTGACCAGGTTTGAAAACCTCATTTGAAACCCGAATCCCTCATTTGATGCGCTATACCACATTGGTGACCCTTGCTGTAGAGTTTTTTGTGCTGCGGAACGGATTGCACATCTTGAGACCCAATTTAGAAACCATAACCTGGTCTTGAAACCCAGATTTGAAACCCTAACTTGAGACTTCAAATTTAGTTTAAAAATAACTCCCCCTGGCTTTGAATTTCGGAACCCTACTTCGAAACGCTGGCCCAAAATTAAATCATCCATCCGGGCTTCAAGCTGTATTTTGAAACCCTAACTTGAAACCGTAACCCTCACTTGAAAAACTTTTTTTTTTGTGTGTCTTTCATTCTAGCTGACATTGATTAGCGAGCAGCGGTCGCGTTGGCCTCGGCACCACCAGATGGTCGCCGGTTCGACTTCCCTTCCAGCTCTCAATGTCGCCTCATCCTTCAGGTAACGACTCACCTCGGCCCCTGTGCTCGCTAAACCTGATTTTCTCATTTTTCATTTTTACTGGCCACCGCGCGCCGAGCGTCCAGCGCGATGATGTCGGCGAAGGGCGAGCTGGAGGCTGCGCGTTGCCTCCGTGCTGGAGGCCGCCTTTTCATGCGCGTGATCTTGCGCAAAGGTCTTGCGCTTGTATAAAAGGTACCGCGGCGCCGTCTTCTCGGCGACTCATCGTTCAGTTGGAGTTCATCCACCATTTTTACCTGACAGTGATTGCTCCTAAGGAAGGAAACAAGATGAGAGGGAAAAAAAGCAAAAATATTTCCATCCCGTGTGTGCTGAAATTGGGAGTTGAAACCCGAATGAGAAAGCCTGACCCGACTTGAAACCCTACCCCTGATTTTAAAAACTGAATCAGAAGCACTAATCAAAACCGTATTTCTAAACCCCGCTACTGCCTTGGAACCCAAATTAGGAGCCGTGATGCTTCTTTCAAACACAAATTTCAAAACCCTACCTTTTGCTTGAAACCCGACCCAATGCCCTAATATGGTGTGCAGCTAATATATATGTACGCACAATATTTTTTTTCCATAGCAAGTTTTTCAAAAATCCCTGCTCTTAACTTCCATTAGAAATATACGGGAAACTTTCCGGAAATTGTCGAAAGCGTTCCAGGCCTTCGCCACTCAGAGGGTGCGCAAGGACGTCCTTCCCGGATTGCAGGTCGTCCTCGTGTCAAGTGTGGCTCGGCTGGATCCGAGGATACGCCGGCTTTGTGTTGGGATTTTGGCCGGGATTGAGCAGTAATGGTTTTGCGGTCTCGGAGGATTCTTGTGATGAGGCGCAATTGGACTCATCTGCTCCTTCCATCGATTTGTTTTTCGCCGCGCTTCACTTTTCTCATTTTTAACGACTTGTGAAGACCATAATTCTATCGAACACCGCCGGGCCGCTTCTTATCCCGGCTTTGTTTTGATTGCAGCCTGAAAGTCGTTTGGGGTCTGGCTTGTGGAGAGAGCGAGAAAGAAAGGCGGCGCTGATGGAATCCAACCCTTCTGAGGCGGCAAACGCATCCGTGTGGATCGTTGGGCTAATTGATTTTCATCGTGTCATTTTTGTACATGAAACCGTTACGGGTCCGTCGCGTTGATTGAAACAATTTTGCGGATTGCTGGATGAACGCAAATGAACCGACGCTTTCTCGGACTGCCCGCTGTAATGAGATCAATCCCGAAAATCGCCGCGCTGTGCCATTGATGCACATCTTGCATGACAAAGTGTGCCTAATGAAGTGGCCAGGCGGTGGACGCGCAAGCGAAGACAAAAATGGCGTTTGTCCGCTTTTAGTATTTTAGCAAATGCTTTCAGTTTTGCACGTTTCTCAAATGAAGACTTATTTTATATATTTACTTTTCATCCAAACAAGAGCTAGTTAGCGTCAAGTCAACTTTTATGTTTGATTTTTGCTGTTGTCTTTTTCAGATAATAGTTTTCCGAACATCAGAACCTGTTTTTTTTTTTTTTTATTGGTTTTGTTTTTTCCAGGCTATGATAGCGCGACATAATCAAACAAATAAGTAGATGTGAAAAAATGAAGCAGTTGACTTTTACCCTCGTCGGACAACTTTGGCTCGTGTTTGAAGTTCATTAAAGCGACATGAGGCTACGGAGGAAAAGAGCAATACGAGCTGGATACATTGAGTTTAATCCTCGCCCCCCTCGTGGAAGATGATTGGTCGTCGTGCACGTGACCATTGATTGCCGTTAAAGTTCCGACAATTATCATCGGGAGCCGAGCGAGCGCCTCATCTCCGTCCCCCGCGATTGGACGACCGATCGAACGAGGCCAAAAGGGACGTTTTGGTGTCGCGCGCGACAACAAATGTACAGACGAGCACCCGGCGTCGACTCCAAGACTTTCCCTCGAAAACATGAAATATTTTCCGAGTCAGAGGGAAAACAGGGTCTGAAATGCTAATCACACAGACAACCACTTGAAAGAAGAAATTTGGGCTTTTTGAATTAATAACACCAGTTTTATGCTTTAAGATGACTTTGCCACAAAATTTGCATGCGTATCAGATTTGATTTGCATTCCTGTGATCCGGAGAATGTATTATCTGCCCGCGATTCAGCATCTCTTATCTGGAGCGCCTCCCAATCAATGGAGAGCGCCGCTGAATATGGATTAAGGATGGATATCTGAGGGAGCTCAACTTACATGAACTGCTTTACCCCCGCCAACTTCATTTATTTATTTTTTTATTATTATTCATATTCGCCTTCGTTAGACAGCGCGCGGCCTCACGCGGGCGGCTTTCTTTTTCGAGCAGCGTTTCCCAAACTTGGCAAATATTTTAAATGAGGAAAATCTTATGGCACGCCACCAAACAAACAAAAAAAAAACAATAAAAAAAAAAACTAAAAAGTTTGAGACGTGTTTTTCTGGCGTTCCAGTGGTGGTTTGGCAGCGTTTCAGCAGCATTTCAGTGGAATGAGTTTCAGCTGTATTCTGCTCTGAAAAACGTTTTTATTTTGTTGTTGTTGTTGTTGAATTTTGCTCAATTTTATTTTGTCAAGCGGTTGCATGGAACAAAATCATTTGGATCGACGTACATTTTTCAGTAGACTTTACATTGACTTAAAAAAGAGATGATTTTATGACCCTTCGCAAAAACAAAAGTGGAAAAATGGTGGTGCTTTTTAAATCGATTTCTAGATTCCTATTTTCCTTTTTTTTTTAAATATTAACTGAGAATAGCTTGTTTTTTATTTGACTGAGAAATCTGGTACTCAGGTCAAAAAAAGCCCAAAACAACTCACAACATTAGGATTCCACAATGCGTGTCGACTTCCAAACCGAGTCGCGATAAACGTCTCCGTCACTGTGAGGACGCCTTGCCGACTTGATGCAAAAATAAAATAAATAAAATGGCGTTTCTCTGACAAAAGGCAGAGGGGGATATCTCTCCGCCTGATAAATGAACCGCGAGTCAGGAGGATCTCCAAAGAGATAGCTTCCAGTCTGCGGGCCAGGAAAGGCGGGGAGTGTCAGCCTTTTTGCACACTGACTGATTTGGACTGCCGGCACCGAGAAACGATGAGGACCTTGCAGATTTATGATGCTTTTTGCCACCATGTTAAATATACACTTTGAGACATGGCGCGCAGAAAGAAGCACTTTGAAAGCCTTATCGGGCGCAAAGGATTCATGAAGGAGCCACACCACAGTACCTACTTGGGTCATTTATTCCGAAGGGAGCCCCGCACACTGCTGGAACGCCACTGAAATACGTTTAGAAATGGAACTAAATTGTGGGGAAAAAAAAATGCTGCTGAAGCACTGCGCCACTGCCAACATACTGCTAAAGGACGACCGAAACAACTGAAAGACTGCTAAAACACAATACAATACATTATTTATATTGCACTTTCACAACAGCTGCAGCTGTAGCAAAGCGCTTTACAGAACAGTTAAGATACAAAAACAAAATGATATATTGCAACACATAACGTAAGACACGGATAGGCATGCAATCTGAATGTTTTTTCCGGCATACGCTTTGTTGATTGAAGCAGTTATTGATGAAAGAGGAGAGAATCAAAGCTCAAAATGCGCATACATCTGCTACAAGCTAAGTTTGAAAGTAAACAAGAAGCTGTATTATTGTCCGTTGACGAAAAACTAGATTACTTCTCCTGTCCCGTGTAAATTCGCTTCAACTCCAAGCGGCGACTCTTAGTTCCAAATACGCATCGGTGCTATGCGCCGACGCTCCTCTCTTCTCGTCTTCGGCTCCACAAGCCGTTCATCCAGCCACACCAACGGCAGACTGTCCAACAGCGCCTACATCGCCGCTAAACAAAACGGGGCTGTGAAAAATGCGACCCATTGCAGTCGCAAAAAAAAAAAAAAAAAACAAGCGCCAAGCGGCTATCCAATGGCCACAGTCAAATAGCGCCGACATTCCTCCCAATCAAAATTAGTTCTAGTGCATGCGTGCTGCGAAGAAGGCGCAACCTCAAACCCCAGATTCTTCTTCGACGAATGCCGTGGCCATAACGCTAAAAACGGTCCACATCGGGTCCACACGAAGGACAACAAACACCATCTGACAAAACAAAAGACAAAAACAACAAAAAGCAAAGCTCTTAAACAGCTCTTGCCGACGGCTGCCAACGACGGCGCCATCTTGGATTTTCTTCTCCACAACTGCGATGCAAAATCACTCGCATGATTCCTTTGTCACAATTTTTACACCACTGCTGAAACTGCGAAAGCACTGTGCACTTTGCAGCCACATGTAAGCCTCGGAATAATCCCTTGCCAGTTTCTGCTGACTCGGCGTGATCTAAGACACAATGTCGCCAATCATGCCAAAGGCCGCCAATGTTGGAACATTGTGCATCCCCCTGAGCCCAAAATGTTTCTTGGATTCCGATCGCACTTTGATATGTAGATCTCTGCATTGCATTATTTATCAAGAGTCAAGCAAGACAAGTTTTCTTTCAAAATCCCTTCAGTCTCTTTCTCCCCATACTGAACCCCCCCTCACACCCTCCCACCCCCGCCGCCATTATTGCCAAACAGGCAAACATGACGTTAGTTAGACACTTTGGAATATATTTAATGTATTCCCTGTGCTATGAATCCTGATAACTATCACTGTGTTCTCGGAAATCAAAACTATTTTCATCTTGAAGTGTCTGGATCAAACTACTTGACACCAAAGTCTCTCCTCAGCCAGATGACAAAGACAGAACGATTGACCTAGCTCGCATTTTACACCATACGCTGGATTTTTCCAGGACAAGGCTGTCATCTTTTGGTCAAACTTTTGAAGAACTTCCATTGCATCGTTCGTCCCTGGCCTACTTTATTCCCACGTCCTATTAACCTGAAGATGAGAATATAAATGGGTTAGTTGAAGGTGGAGTGTAATTGGTGATTATATCCTCAACACCCACTCTCAAAAAAATCTTCACTCGGTGCAAACGATGGA